TTTGAATCTATGCTATAGGCAATGATGAGAGACAAGAGAATTTAAAGTAAACAACCTGAACTAAGCACTGAGTTCTATCATCTTAATCCTCCAAATAAACCCCGACAAAACAATGAACATCTTGTCTAACATATTGATAACTGATCAATCTTATAATTAGCACAATCAGACAATGTTTAGATTATCCAAGCCGTATATGTTCAAGTCATCCCAAAGTGAAAGGTAATTGGAACAAAAGTCAAACCTCGTGATCACAGTCGACGAGAATCAGAGCTCATCGGGAAGATTTTCGGTGGGGAGAATCAGAGCCTTGTTATTGTTATCTCCGCCGTAAAACCCTAAACCCTTGTTACTTCTAACCTTAACCACTCTTCTTTTTCGATTAAGAGCTTTCTCACTCGTCAGAAATCCAATTTTTGTACACACCCATCAAAGGCCATCGCTCTCTCCGGCTATGTCTATGCTCAATGAAGCAAGCTCTCAATCCCAACTTGATTTTGGAGCAGAGGAGAAAGCGAAGAGTCGTCTCGGCCGGAAGAGACGAGCATGGCGACGGAGAAAGCAGGAGTCGTCGAAAGGAAATTTTTTCGTCCAACAAAATCATCGAAGACTGGTGAAATATCTGTCGAGGAAGAGAAAAACGAGAAGAGAAGAAAAACAATTTTCTTTCCTTCAATTGTTTAACCAATGAAATGTGTACACGTAGCAATAAGGATCGATTCTTTTTTCCCAAATAAGAACCGATCTTTGTGTTTTTCTCTTATTTTCTGTTTTTTTATTTTTTTAAAATGCTTAAGAACCGATAATGATAATGATGCTTTTATATTATAACAGAGTAAAATGGCACACAGTTTTGCCGATTTTCGACAGAGGACGTGGCAAAACTGTGTCATTAAATATTTATCAAATATAATGTATATGAATGGCGTAGAGGGTTTCGCAATAGGGATGATGACATATTTTTTATTTTTTATTTTTTATTTGTTTTATTTTAGCTATGTATTGTAAACCAACTGTAACAATCCCATCAATGAAACGATGAACATTTTATTTCTTCTTCCTCATCATGCTCTTTCTTCTCTCATGATAGACATCATATTATTGGTATTGCAAACACACAACATATTTGAAAAAGAAAACACGAACGAGAAGTGGCCAAGGCTCAAGAGAAGATAGATTCTTCGGTTCTGCAAGTGTATCATCGTACAAACAAAATATCAGAACATAATCAAGATTGATTTTGGTGAGGAGAAATTATGCTATAATGTTAAGTATGGACTATGGAACGTAATTCTACCTTTGGTGAAAAAAAGAAAGAAAAAGGAAGAAGAAGAACAAATCCAAAAACATTTGCGAAAACTTCATGCCTATCAAGGGTCATTTTCAACAAAGTATGTGGCAACATTTGTGCAAATATAAATATGACAATCTGGTTCACAAATCTTAAAAACAACATTATATAAAACCGTTATATACACTATACAAGTGATGTTTTGATTTTCTTAAAAATAAACACAAAAATTTTAATATCATATCATATTTTATATTTTTCTTTCTATTTTTCTTTCTATTTCAGATGTTGAAATAAACACAAAAGGTGTCACGTGCAGTCTGGTCACGTGTATATATATATCATATTTTTCTTTCTATTTCAGATGTTGTAATTTTCCATTATATATAAAAAAATGACATGAAACTTAATAATGGTCGAAGACGTGGGGGAGAAAGATAATACGAGTGGTGGTGATCAGATTGGATTGGTGTGGGGTGTGGCTTGTGTGGGAGCAAAAAGCATGTGAACTTGTCGAGATGTGGATGGATCGAGTATATATGTTTGATGTTTCATTGAACGACAAACGTATGAAGACAAAAAACGATATACTTAAAATTGATTTAACAAAAAAAAAATTGATTTTTGTTAAATATAACAACAAGAAGACGAGTATTAAAATTTAAAAATCTGATTCCTAAAAGGCTAAAACACACTCCTAATCAAGGTTCTCACAGCTAAAATTTCATATATTCACCGATTGTAAAGAAAGAAATAAATATAGTGGTATATATCTCTCCATTGGTTAAGTACAAAATGAACAATTAATAGCAGCAGTTTTAGCAAAAAAAAAAAAAAACAATTAATAGCAGCAGTAGCATACATGTGAGGTTTATTCACCGGATGGAACGGGTTTCGTCGCGACTCACCGGATGAAAGGGCAGACTCCTTAGTTTTGCGGGGCGTATTACCTTGACTAAAGCGGTCCTCTCCTCGATCCCGGTGCATTTGATGAGCACGATTAAACTACCAGCTTCTATATTGAAGAAGCTTGATGGTATATCTCGTGATTTTTTGTGGGGAAGCACATCGGAGAAACGGAAGCAACATTTACTCTCGTGGAATAAAATATGCTCTCCAAAGAAGGAGGGAGGCTTGGGTATACGGCGTGCTGGTGATATGAATAAAGCTCTTGTGGCTAAGATTGGATGGCGATTGTCGAGGGATTGTACTAGCCTTTGGGCTCGGGTTTTGCGAGGGAAATACCGGGTAGGAGATTTTGAAGCTTACCGATGGCAGGAGAAGAAGAGCTATTGGTCCCTGTTGTGGAAAGGGGTGGTGATTGGTGTGAGAGAGGTTTTGGCCAAAGGGTATCGATGGAGTCTTGGTGATGGGAAGAGTATCCATTTTTGGGCAGAGAAGTGGTTGGCTAATGAGGCTATAAGTGATCGGGTGTTGGTCCAATTACCAGCGGGATTTCAGAACATTACGGTGGCGGATTTATGGGTTGATGGGCAAGGCTGGGAGATGAACCAAATTGCTCCATATGTTACCGAGTTGCAGAGATTGGAATTAATGGCAGTAGTGGTTGATAAGGTAACCGGCGCGAAGGATATGATGGCGTGGGGAGAAACCAAAGATGGCGAGTTCACGGTGGCTTCGGCTTACTCTTTATTAACCCGTGGAGATGATCAGAAGCAGCCAATGGGGAAGTTTTATGAGCGGATATGGAAAGTGGAAGCACCAGAAAGGGTGCGAGTCTTCTTATGGTTGGTCTCTCATTAGGTGATAATGACAAATACGGAGAGGAAGAGGCGCCATTTTAGTGTTTCAGATATTTTCTAAGTGTGTAAAGGTGGAGTTGAATCTATCTTACACGCGCTTCGGGACTGCCCAGCGATGGAAGGGATTTGGATGAGGTTAGTGCCACTGAGTAAGAGAGGGGTTTTCTTTACGCAGACGTTACTCGAGTGGCTGTTTTCGAATCTTGGAGATTACTCGCTATTGGAGGGGGTTGAATGGGCTACCTTGTTTGCTTTGGGGGTTTGGTGGGGCTGGAAATGGAGATGCGCAAATGTGTTTGGGGAGAACAAGTTATGCCAAGACAGGTTACGATTAATTAAGGACTATGGAAAAGAGGTGACCTTGGCTGCGAAACAGAACAAGGTACGGCTAGGAGGAAGACAGCGAGTAGAGAAGTTGATCAAATGGGAGGCTCCACCGATGGGCTGGTTCAAGGTTAATACTGATGGAGCCTCGCATGGGAACCCAGGAATGGCAACGGCTGGAGGGGTTTTGAGAAACGAAGATGGGGAGTGGTGTGGTGGATTTGCTTTAAACATTGGTCGTTGTTCAGCGCCGCTTGCAGAGTTATGGGGAGTGTATTATGGTTTATACATTGCCTGGGAGAGAAGAGTAGCGTGTTTGGAGCTGGAAGTGGACTCGGAGATGGTAGTGGAGTTTTTAAAGACAGGGATTGGGGACGCGCATCCTCTGTCTTTCCTGGTACGTCTGTGCCATGGCTTTTTATCGAAGGACTGGACAGTCCGAGTGACTCACGTGTATAGGGAGGCTAATCGTCTAGCTGATAGATTAGCGAACTATGCTTTCTCTTTGCCCTTAGGTTTTTCTTTCTTGAATAATGTTCCATCTGGTGTTGAAACGATTTTGAGGGAAGACGTCTCGGGTCCGCCTCTATCGCGTTATGTTAGTATGTAATTGCTGAAGTTTTAATAATAATACTGTGAGAACTTTTCTCCCGGTTCACTACCAAAAAAAAATACATGTGAGGTTTATCTGTCTCCATGTCAGAGAAAGTGATACCGTTTTCTCTCTCGAACCCCTCAAACATTAGCCACACAGATAGCCAAGTTTCTGCCTCTGTCTATGTCTATATATATTTATATGCTCGAATCCACAAGTGAAAAGGAACTAACTTATAAGGAAGGTGAAAGCAAAAACAAACATTCTAAAAGTGTGTTTCAAGTTTATAACTAACTTATTCTGTCCGACAGATCGATGTGAATACCATGTCGAGATAGCTAATGTCTCTATCCGCTTAATTCTAATTAATTAATCTAAAATAATATAATATGATTACTTTATTCTTCATCAGCGACAATGCGACATTATTTGTTCGTCCCCCAGTGAATTAATCACGCGTCTCATGCAATAATCCCATCGCATCCTTATACTTTATATTTTGGGGGTCAAACATCATTTTCTTATACTTATTTATGGGATTTAACAACGTAATCTTCTTTCTATATGCTCATGACGCTCCTCGTCTCTTATTTATTAACTTAGTTTACACCACTTTTCCCATTTTTCAACCATACAATGACGTTGACATCCTTGTATTTTTTTATCCGTATATAAATTATTGAACATGTACTGTAACCAAAATTTTCTGAAACTAGTATTGCACTCAAATGAACGCGCGTACTTTTACTCCCGTACCAGCCAGTATCACTATTTATTATATTTTTTTCTTTTTGTAAAAAAAAAGTTGCCATGATTTGTGAAATTCATGACATATGAATATAAACAATATGGTGTAAAAAAATCAATATAAGACATGACAAACTGGTGATCAAATAAATACGTACAAAATACCTATTACAAGAAAAATACAAAAATAGTTTTGTGAAGAGTTAAAGAGGATGAGAAACCTGTGCTCTTTCTCAGCTTCGCCCCCTGGCCAAGCAGTTCTTGCATTGTGAGATCGGCGATGGGAGCCAGTGCTCTTTTTGGTTTGACATGCTCGTTGGGTCCGCTTTTTGATCACATGGGTCAGGATGGTCCCCGCAGGATGGGTATTCCTCTGCAGAGCAAGGTTATTGATGCCTGTCACAGTGGAAGCTGGAAGCTCCCGGGGCCTAGATCGAGACTTCCATCTCTTGTTTCTGTGCGTCAAACGCTGATGGTTACCCCTACTCCGAGTATCTTAGGTGGGCCGGATGTTTACCTTTGGGAGACACCGAATGGATGGAGAAGCTCCTTCTCATCTTCGAAGACTTGGGAAGCTATCAGACCTTCGGGTGATGCTGTTGGATGGGAAAAGCTTGTTTGGTTTAAGGGACATGCCCCCAAACATGCCTTCACCTTCTGGACTGCTCAGAGGAATCGATTGCCTAAAGCCAGGCTTGTAAGATGGGGTGTGAGCCCAAATGATCTTTGCTGCACTTGTGCTCAGGCTGCAGAAACTCGTGACCATCTTTTGTTGAATTGTGATTTCAGTTCTCAAGTTTGGAGGAGAGTTATGCAAAAATTGGGCCAACCCTTTTTCTCTTTCGTGGATTGGTCCCATTTCATCTCTTGGCTGTCTCGCCGAGCTGCTTCGGCTCCTAAGCTCCTTCGTCGCCTTGTTTCACAGGTCGCCGTGTATTCTATCTGGCATGAGCGTAACGTCAGACTTCACGCTGGTATTGCTTCTACCCCTGTCTCACTGATGAAGCTCATTGATCGACAGGTCAGGGATATCTTGCTCGCTCGCAACAGGAAAAAACCGACTTCTTTGTTATCTCTTTGGTTTACTTATAATTAGTTTATGTATGTATTAGGCTAATTCTCCTCTATATTTTGGGCTTTTTACTTTTTTGGGTCCAAAATGTATTCTCTGCTGTGCCAGCATTGTAACGTTCCGGTTTTGATATAAATTTACATTTTATCAAAAAAAAAAGAGGATGAGAAAAAATAGAAGCTTCACGCAGTTCTATTTAGTCTAAACATGAAGCAAAAATAAAAAAAAAGATTATGAATAATGATGGTAGGTGATCGATAAGCAACTGCTAATTATAAATAAACTATGATAACCACGAATCTGGTGGATGAAGCATCGGGATTACCTCCATCATTATTTATTACAGTTTTTTACTTTGCTTTAATCTCTTTTAAACCCTCTTTCGGATTTTGATTAGGACTCACGGGGACACAAAGGGACGGAATCTTAAATATCAGCATGTAAAGACATTCATCCTTCAATTACTATCTTAATTACTTATTATATTTTTAGTTTGGTACACACGTTCGCCATTAATTGCCTCTCTTTTTTATCACCTGCATAAATATTCACACCCCTTTTTTTGGATACACTTCACCAGCACTTAATTAATCAAACAGAATGTTCATTAACGATTGTGTTGTATTGTATCCGCACACGAGGTTACTTTAGTAAATATGTCTAGGTGGAGCTCGGAGATTCTTGATTAAATAGGGGTGATATTGATGTGTATATTTTGAGGTTGTTTGAACGAGGTAAACTTAGCGAGGTAAGAGTTATGATTATAAGTCTCGAGTATTTTTGTCTCTATCTCAGATTACGGATCCCGTAATAAATGAGGTTACATGGCTATTTATAGTGTCGAAATTAGGTTACATTTCGGTCAGAATAGCTTGGGCGGTCGGGCAGGTAGACCTGACCGACCGTCTATCGGGATGTCGCGCTGGCGAGCTGTTTCATCTGCGTCGATGTGGCGAGCTGCTCTTTTTACGTCGACGCGGCGAACTGCTCCTTTGATGTGAGAGGCTCATCTCTTCGAACGACTTCGTTTCGGCTTTATGAATGGGCTTGCTATTCTTCGATCTCGTTGGGCTTCTCTAATCTGCTAACGGGCGTGGTCGAAATTACAAAAAAGGGACTGTGCTCAGCCCACCTACAACAGATTGGGAATGAAACTGAGACAGGAAAAAAATGACATTATGTATTGACATGATTCGCAGTTAATTTAATTTTTAGGAAATGGACTGATTTAATTATATATATATATATATATATATATATGCGCATTCATCTGGGTGTGTGTAATGTGTGTAATAAATAGGCGCATGTAGATCATGCGGGCGTAAGTAGGAATAAAATCAGAAAGACTTTGCTCTATTTTCAACTAGTGTTAAAAGTGAAGGATCCTAGTTCTAAATTATTAAAAATCAGAGGCATATATAATATTCATTCATATTTCATATCTACCTATTTACAACATATTTTATTCATAATACTCTTACCGTCTTACAAACATGTGATCGTTATGTAAAGGATAGATTTTTAACATTTATTCTTAAGAAAATCAAAAGAAACAAGAAGTTTGAAGGAAGCATATTTTTAACATTTATTCTTAAGAAAAATAAAAGAAACAAGAAGTTCGAAGGAATATTCTCAACAAGAGAAACTATAACCGGTTTTGCAAGAGTAACAAATTTTTACCCACAAATCTATATTCCTATTATCTAGGCTAACACTCTCAATATTCTTCCAGATAATTTCTTCTAGAGGAAACATTTGGGAGTAGAATCTGATAGATGTTACGAGCGTACGTGTTGAGATGCTGTCATGAAGTGTTGTTCTTCTACCATAGCGAAGGATATAGCCAGTGTCAGCATCTTCAACTGGGTCGAACAGTTCCTCTGTTAAAAGTCTGGCTAAAACAGCTAAGATATTAAACCAGATTATACCATAGGTACCCGTACTGATTGCTGTTTCTTGAAGAAGAGATATGTCAAAGAGAAGTTTTGATGCTGCTCCAACATGTGCTTTTAACTCATCCTCACCAATCTTTTTGATCTGCTGCATCCCTGGAATCCAGAATTCTTCCATTGCTTCAGTAAAGAAGGAGGGATTAACTTGGTTCATAGTCGACTTTATATAACTGGGTCCGGTAACCATCACGAGATTTGACATGAAGACAAGCATATAGTTCTGAAACTTGGCCGTCGTATTGTCTTGAAGGCATTGGGATAGATGACTCCATACACGCTTCATGTCAATCTTACTGAAGTCCACTTCTTCAAAAAAAGTGAGAAGAAAATCAAAGCCCAGCACTTGCTCATGAGTTCTTGGAGATGAAACTAGCTTCTCGAACAACCCCAGCACTCGATTCAACCCATCGTCTTGACTATACTCGTGGCGTACATCAGGAAGTGTAGACTGAAACATACGGACAAGAGCTATAAGATTCCCGCTTCCCTTCTGTCACTCAGTCGAGAGGCGCAGCGAAAATATCTTATTGATTTGTGGTGAGAGCAATGGTGTATTTAACTCGAGAAGCTGACTCAGCAACTGAAATGCATAAGGCAAGAACTCTGTGATATCATTGTCTAAAATGATCTTGAGGCTCGGGAAAAGACTCATTTCAAACGCAGATATAAGAGAAACATCGCCTTCACTCGCCCGTCGAACAAGTACAGCTATAGACTCGAAGAGACCGTGGTTATATGCAGAGTTTTTCGGATATTCCAAAGATTTACTCAGAAGGGATGTCAACCCCGCGAAGCAACATCCAGCCACCTCACTGCTGAACTCGGCAAGACCAAGGACACGCATTATGCACCTCATAATGTATTGATTTTCCTCAGATGTTGTCAACTTCAGTGCATCAAACATGCTCGTCATCAAGTCCACCAAAACCAGACTTCTAACACCAGAAACATACCTCTTTACACGTTCGTCCTTCACAAGTAGGAGATTCTCAATGCTGATCGCAGCATACGAGTGAAGCACCTTTGACTCTGCTTGAAGGAACCGGGTCAGGTCCATGACCAAGGGAATTGCAATAGGCTTTGGAAACGTGCTAGGTATATGACTAGGAAACACCATTAAGAACTTCAAGCACCCTGCCTTTAGCATTGGAAAACTGTTGACTTCTAAGCTATGCAACTCCGGGAGAATAGCGGCTGAAAAGAAGCTTTGAACAAAATCTGTAGACACAGATGCACCAGAGAGACGACCAATTCAATTGCACAAGCCTTATCTTTCCACTGTGCAGCCGGGTTTGCTGAAAATGAACTACAAAACCTTTGTAACTCAGGAATGAGTACATCCATTACTTGTGTTCTGTAATTTTTCGCAAGTCCTTTCAGTAGCTCAGAAGCCATTCTCCTTCTCGTGTCGAAACCACTTCCCTCCATGTCTCTACGGATAAACTCTATGTAGTCCATCACGAAAAAATCTTCATCTTCTGCTCTCCAAAAAACCATGGGAATCACAATCCTTAGGCAAAGTGCTCTTATCACATTTTCCCCAGCATAAAGACCACGGTGACCACTTGTGCTCACGGTCGTAAAAAACTTTAATGCTTTCGTAGCTACCTGATCCCTGCTAGGAGAGTTTGACACAGCTTCGAGTAGTGTAGAGATAGTTACTGCAAAACCATTCAGAAAGTTATGGAAGGCTTCTTCGTGTTTCTCCACCAAACAATTGATGTTAGAGAGAACAGCAGACCGAAGTTCGTCAGAAATATCAAACTCATCAACTGTGCCATACTGTGATACTAAATACTTGCTAAACGCTGTCATCCAGATCTCCATATGATCCCCGAAAGAGTCTGGCAGATACTCAGAGTAGAAAGAGTAAAATATATTGCAGCATAACGTCTGGGACTCAATCAGTATCTCTGTTGGTAATGAATAACGCAGAGCATTATCAATCAAAGTATCCGTGTTCTGAAACAACTCTAAAAGCGGAGTAGCAAATTTATCCCGGCAATACTCAAAATCAAGGCGCAGATCATCGTTTATAAGTTGACACCTAAACTTTTCGAATATGGAATTAGCGAGTCCAAGAATAGCATTGACGGAGGTATAATCGACGACGAGCTCAGCTTTTTGAAGGCGAGAGATAAGATCGGGAAGAAAGGAAGGCCAAGATTCCAGAAAATCGTGCTTACCAATGATGGATAATGATTCAATCAACTCGCTTTGGATACCAGAGGGGAAATAAGAGTCCATAAGGGAGACGATGAGTGTCTTGATTGCTTGTTTCTCCGAATCCACCATCGGCGAGAAATCAGATTCATCGTCAGGAAGCCACCGCGAACGTAGATGGTTTTTAAAGTTGACAGCAGCGGCGTGACGGATAAGTTCGTCGACTAAGGGCTCAGCCACCAGTCGGAGGACGGCTAAGCCGTAAAAGGACCGATCGGCGGCTTCGGATGTCGACGAGATTCCTGATTTTCGGAGAGCGTTTCACGAAAACATCGCGAAAGAAATTGGAGATTCACCATCTTTAACTGAGATTTAGGGTTTCACTCTCTCTCTGAAGCAGCAAGTAAGAGGAATAAGAGGGAACTCAAGTTTCAAAGAAGACAGAATTTTCCGTCCCAGCGAGAGTCGGGTTAACGGAGCCCCGGGTTAACGGGTCTGGACCGTGTGGTCAATACCCGAGAGTAAAAATAAAAAACATTATTGATATTTTTGAAGCTAAAAAAAATGTAAATTTTAGACCACCTTGCTCTTGAGTTTTTTTTTTTCTTCTTATCTTGTGTTTTTCTTATTAAAAATAATTGAATGTTCGTGTTGGGCTTTCTATCGAGTTCAGTCCAAAAAGCTAAAATCTCAAATATAAAAATTCAGGCCATGAATATTTGAGTAGTTTTTGAATTTTGGATTTTGGTTTTTAACTTTTACTTTTTGGTTTTCAGATTTTGGTTTTTGAATTTTTGGTTTTTGCTTTTGCAGTAGATTTTAGTTTTTTTTTAAAAACTGAATGTTGTTTTATTTAGTTTTTTTTTGTTTTTATCTCTCTATATTTTTAATAAAATCTATGCTATAAAATAAAAATCTCATTTTTAAAATTATCAAAAATTGTATACATAATATGGTTTTTCTATACTTTTTATAAATTTCTTATAGATAAAGTTTGTTAATGCGTTTTCTATTACTAACATAACAGCTCACAAAATTTTATAAATAATAAAAAAACTTATGAATAAAAAATAGTTAACTTATAAATAAAAAGTTGGTCTATTTAAGTTTAAAAAATTGATTATTTTTGTATTTTTTATACTAAATATTAGATGTTAAAATTTATCACTTTTTATTTTGTGTGTTTTTATTAAAATTCATCGACAATCTGTGATGAAAAACTACAAAAATATAGATTTTATTTTTTGTTTAAAAATAGGTATTTATTTTCAGAATCCAGTTTACCAAGTTAGGGAACCAAAATCTTAATTGGATAAAAAATTGGTTTTTTGAAAAACAAAAGTCAAAAACTTGCCGATGTTTGCGAATCACAGAAATGTCAACTTCGATATAAGATAGAGAATGTGAAGAGCTGAGATCGCAGGAACGATATGCGGAGAGCTTCTACAAAGCAATCAAATGTATTAGATTAAAATTCCGATGTCTTCACACTCTTTAGATTTTCATCTTCTATTCTTGGAATACATTTAATAAATCGCTCATTCATCATATTTTCTGATATGTGTTCATTTCAACGAAAATCTAACTTCATTCTTGTGTTTATCATCAATCTCACAGACACTTGGATATGATCGTAGTCTAAATCCTGAAATTTAATAAGAGCATGAATGAAAGTTTTATTATTTTCACAAGAGATATCCATAAGTAAAACAGTTACTAAATAAGATGTTTCTTTGTTACCAAGAAAAAAAAAAGATGTTTCTTCTAACAATATAAACAGAAAAATATCGTGGTCCAATTGGCATAATTAAACAAATCATAAATATGTTGTCAACAGGGAGATGGAAAGCTGGTGAACTTTAAAATTTCAGTATGTAAATCGATTTTCCATCTTTTGTTTGTTTGGTATCTAATTTATTTTTATTTTTTGGTCAAATGTATCTAATTTATTTATGACCATTATTTTTAGCAATGAAATTCAACATTTCTTTGAAGACCCTTTAAGTTTAACAATGAAATTCAACATTTCTTTGAAGACCCTTTAACAAAAAAAAAAAAAATTAAACATTTCTAATAGATGAAAAGCTTATGTGTCATATAAAAAAAAATGAACAATTGGTATGGTATGATAACATTTAAAAGTTTTCTGCTTTGTTTTTTTTTTCATAAGCGATTACATTAATAGTGAACTGGTATTTCTTCACCTGATTTAAAATTTCAATTACACTTGGCCGTTTGGTTGTCGTTTCACACAAGCAGATGCTGTAACGAAAGCAGCGTGGATTGTTCGAGATTTTGATGGTTACTACAAAGAAGCAGGACCGAGCATGAACAATGTTGGAAGCTGAATTTCAAGCGCTTCTCATGTCAATGCAACAGCTGTGGATAAGGGGATACAGATTGGTAATATTTGAAGGAGATAATAAAACTGTGAAGAAACTTGTTAGTGGGGACAAGAAGAATTTTGCAGTTCACAATTGGTTCGTATATATTCAGTATTGGCAGAGTAAATTCAGGATTGTAGAGGCTGTATGGGTGCCTCGAACTCAGGAATAAAGCGGCAGATTGTTTAGTCAAAGAACCATTGTTTAATCAAACCACGTTTTGTATTTCATCATTATGTTCCAGAACTTCATGAGGACATTAGTCGATGGACCTGTTCCACCAGGTCAAGTGATGAGATCTTTAAGAAGCATGAACATTACGAAACGCCCATTATCTGTTCAAACATCCATTCAATTTAACCAAACACCCCTAATAACCATAAAGTTTGAAGAACCTAACATCCAAGTAGGTAGATGTTGATGGTGGTGCTTGAGATTTTGCTAGGTGTAGAAGCGTTAGATAGAAAGAAACGTAGACAAGTGGGTTGTTAAAGGCAGAGCCAACAATTTTTTGATGAACCGCTCACACATACCTCTTTTTTCCTATGAAGGGATGATGGCACACTTCCTCCGTGATATTGGTGGATATTGGTGGACATGTTATGAAATTCCATGAGGATTTTCTCATGCCTTCAATTGAAATTAGAATATGTTAAATATATATATCCAAGATATTGGTCGACATGTTATGAAATTCCAGTCATTACCTTTCAAATTCTTTTCATGCGCTTGGAAGTTCTAGTTTGCATATGCTTCTCAATAAATGCAAATGACATACAAAAACGAGTAAAACAATCTTTATGTAGGAATATAAATTAGTGAGTAGCGCTAGGTGAAATAAACAAAAAGCAAGAAAGCAACAAAATAAGTTGAAAACATGAGAGACACCTTTTCCGAGGAGCAGAAAACAAAATGATAGAAATAACACAGAGCACGAAAATTAGATTCGACATATGTTATCATCTTGAGTTCCTATATATGTAGGCACGACTTGCAAGGAGGGAACAAACTGCGAAAGGCACGAACGTGGCTCGAAGCAGAAAGTATCTTCCTTGTATACGACACAATCTTTTGAAAAAGGGTTAGAAGTGCGGTGCTTGAAGACACCATCTTTATGAGTTCCGTAAGATTTTTCATTTGTCCGAAGATTACAAGCGAGGAAACATTTGCGGTCTAAGTCCCATAGGTAGATGATGTCGATATCAAAATAGTTGACTGCCATTGGAACACAGTAACGGCCAAGCCCTAGACAAGCCATGTTGATTTCCCATGCCTTTTCCCAGCTCCAGGAATCACACTTGAGCCTCCAAACCCTAACGTTATAACTCTTGACCTCCTCTATCAATCCAACATCAATAAGCACAAAATATCCCTGCGAGGTGGTGCAGATCATCCTACCGCATGGAGAGGGGCAAAAACCTATACCGCATGGGGATTCAGGTGGAAGCCACCGAGTGCCTTGCATCCTGGTGGGTAGGTATATGGCTCGAACTTCATCATCATGAGAGAAGAAATCATGGACAATAATACGGCGGGAGTTATCAAGCCAGTGAAGTTTCCCATCCAAAGAAACGGGATTGGATATATTGACCATGGAAACACCATGACCAGGACAAGAGACTTGTTTAACACTCCATTCACCCGTATCCGATGAAAAAATCTCAATTTTCCATGTTAGGAAATAACCCAATTTTAGAGCATCGATATGTATCCGAACCACCTTGTAACCTAAGAGGGCACCATTGTGCATTCGCGTCACAAGTCCCGAATCGTAGAAGCCACAATCCCGAGAAGGAGGAGGGAGTTGAATCCATTGTGGCAGCACTGGATTCCCAATGTAGTTACGTATCATCATCATCATGTCCTCCTCCTCTAGAAGACGCAGCAAAACCAATCCATCAGTGCAAGCCACAACACTAATCTCTTTGATCTTATTATTTTTTTGGGTGAAACCACTCGCAGAATAATAAGAATTACCATGCGATGACTCACGTGGTAGATCGAGTTTCACCTCCTCCAAACTAGAATGTACCGATCTATGATCTCCGTGAAGGATCGACCAATTAGAACAAGAGGTTGATCTGAAGTTGATATGGTAGAGATCGCGGAAGAATGCAGATTCCGTAAGCGATTTCCATTCTCTACACACTAACTTGAATCTAACGACACTTTGCGGCCGTAATCTCGCCATTATGTTCATCACTATTTCCTCTGGAAGATCCATATCTGTCTCCTTCGTTTTCTTCCTATGTCTTTTGATCCCATCCCATATATCATTTCCATTAGGATCAAGCGAGGCAGATGGTTCAGGAAAGAATATTGACGTCGTAGCAGAGCTGGCCACCATGACGAGGAGATAGCGTTCAAAGACACTGACACCAAAAAAAAGAACCAAAAAGTCAGCGAGTGCCATTAAGTAGATACGATGTCCGGTTAACCAGAAAAATGTCAAAGGTAAAAAAAAAGAGGCTTGCATAAAATAAGGAACACTAAGGAATTCTCAAACACACACACACAAACCAAAATCACAAATTTTCACTGTAACAGAGAACAGGAATGAGCAAATTCCCAGTAACTTCAACGAGCTGTATCCGACACTCGAGACATGGAACGAATCTTTAGGTTGTCACAACATAAACTATCAAAATTCCTAACTGCAGAAAACATCCCCTAGAGCATTCACAACACTGTCCCCTGATGCTCAAAATCTATATTTCATTGCAAGCATTCAACATTCGCAAAATAGATTCCCAAAGTTGTAGGGGAAACCCTTTTGACGCAGACAAGAAATTAAAAATAAAATACAAAGCCAGATCTGAAATCCAAACAACAAAGAACAGAACAGAGAATAAGGTGAAACCGAGAAAAGCAGATCGAAGAAACACCCAAAAAAAAAACTAAACACAAATTGCTTTAAACAAAAGAAAAAGATAACCCGAACATCATAAAATTCCGACAAGCATCAAACTGAAAGCAATTAGATGACACTTGGACGGAAATAATGTAAAACTGTGGTTCCTGGCCTGGTGTTTACAGGCTTTGGTCCCAAAAAAAAAAGAAGAAAAAAGCAATCAGATGACAAATCCGAACCAGCGATGAAGATATTCAGAAGGCAGAAACGGAAAGAGAGATCCGGAGTCTCCAAAGTCCAAACCTTCAATTCTTCTCTAAATTGTCGTTTTTCGCCAATAATTTGTTTAATACAGTACTTGGTTGATCTTGGTCGATATTTTTTTATTTGTGTTTAGGGTTTTATATCTTTTTATAACTTATTTTCTTTTTAGTTTGACCCATAAAAAAAACTTATTTTCTTCTTATTTTTATCATTGGTCAACAAGTGTAATCATAAAATAATTAACCAAACACGAAATCGAAAACTTATTTCCTATTAAAATTTGGATATACAATTCTTTTTCACAAAGCAATCCTCAAATAGGCAAGTGGACGAGGAAAAAAAAAGAAAAAAAAAAGAAATAGGCAAGTGAATCGGACTGACTCGGACCGCAATCTGCAGTTCTGCGCAGCCCGTATAGAAAGAATTAGAGATTTACTTTTCATGTCTAATTCAGTACTGTAGTATTGGATCCGTACTTCGTACGGGAAAAAAAATTGAAGAATAAATAGGTGAAAAATTAAACATGAAATATTTTGTACTATTACTTAGAACTGAAACGTCATCTAATTTTTTGTACCATCTCCTTTTGAAGATCAGTCACCATCTCTTTTTGCTTAATGACGCTTGTTATTTCTTCGTTCTCAAACTAAAGAAATTACAAATAATATAATATATTAGTTGCGTTCTAAAACATTGGGATATTTAATGTAATAATCCTTAAAAATTGTAAAGGTAATAAGTCTTAATAGTTTCAATTGTTACGTGGAGAAATTAAAGTCCTTTGAGCCAAGTGCAAGCTTCAATTTGATGAAAGTTTCAATAGTTTCAATTTGATGAAAGTTTTGACCATTAAATATTTTTTTTAGACGACTGACCATGAAATCTAAAGACGAAAGATCCACTTTCGTTGTTGGCTGATGAGTCAATTTCTCCACCCAAAAAAATAAATACAAACATTGAGTTATATATCCTTATTATGTCTTCTGAAACTAATGGAGTTCTTATTTTCCATTCTTTTTCTGAGTATGACTATATTTCCATAGCTTGTTCAACTTGTAGAAAGAATTTAAAAAAATATCAACCTGATGAGAATAAAAAAATAGTCATAAACCTGTTTTGCTTCTTTCTTTTTTTATTTGCTACAGTTGTTGAATATAAAACATCCAAAAGAACTTTAAAAAAATTAGGGAACACCAGAATTAGATCAAAAACTAAAAAAAATTATGATTAAGAGAAATAGAGAAAGAATCGATGGAGAAGAAGAGAAACAGAGAGAGCAATAGAGAAAAAAAAATAGAGAAGAAGAGAAAGAGAAAAGCAAATAGGAACAAATGAGTTAGTAAATAGGACAAGATGAGTTAATTGGGAGACGAAGCAGATTGAAGTGATATAGGAAGGAAGTTGGCAGTTTTAAGAGATCATGGGACATATGGTGACTTTAAATGAGAAACTGTAGTTCATCGTAAAATTTTTTTTTTTATTAAAACCGGGGGCAGAGCCCCCTTAATTTATTAAAAATCTAAAAAAAAATCAACTACAAACGAACATCTCTAGGACGGGCAAAACCGCTCTCATCCTCTAAAACAATTGACTGAACACCTTCTAAAGTAAAGTTAAACATATGAAGACCTAACGGTAATGAAAACGCATAGCTCGCTAATCCATCGGCAAGACGATTAACTTCCCTATACACGTGAGCAATGCGGACTGTCCAGTCCCTTGATAGATAGCCATGGCACAATCGTACCAGGAAAGACAGCGGGTGTGAATCATTTATCCCTGTCTTCAGAAACCCAACTACAATCTCGGAATCCACCTCCAGCTCCAAACGCGTGATTTGTTTTTCCCAAGCGATGACCAGTCCATAATACACTCCCCAAAGTTCCGCCAATGGGGCTGAACAAATACCGATATTTAAAGCAAACCCTCCCCTCCATTTTCCATCAACGTCTCTCAATACCCCGCCCGCTGTAGCTAGCCCTGGGTTACCGCGAGATGCACCGTCCGTATTGAGCTTCACCCATCCTTCACTTGGAGGTTTCCACGCGATCCATCTCTGTTCGGTTGTCGTTCTCCTCTTACTCCCATGGACTAACGAGTGCGCCACCGTGACCTCCCTAGCTAGATCACGTAAAATTTTTACCCGATCACGCCATTTCTCTCTCCTCCCAAACACATCTCCACATCTCCATTTCCAACTCCACCAGACCGCCATCGAGAACAGAGTAGCCCATAAGCTTCCATCGGAATCCGTCGCATCTCCTAGATTACCATACAACCACTCGATCAATGACTTAGAGAAAAACGCTCGTCTCTGGCGAAGAGGAACTAAACGATTCCATACTCCAACCATTGCCGGGCAGTCTCGCAACACATGGAGAATGGACTCATCACCCCCTTTACACACTTGACACAAGCTTGTATCACACAAATGTCGTCTATATCTCTCCACATTTGTCATTAACGCTTGTTGAGTAACTAGCCAAGGGAAGACCCGAACCCTCTCAGGCGCGATCACTCTCCATACCCGCTCAAACAATCTCTCTAGGTTTGGTCTTGGTATCTCATCTCTCGTCAATAAGGAGTATGCGGATTTCACCGTGTACATTCCGTTAGATTCCTCTCCCCAAGATATCCTGTCCAATGATCCCGTCATATTTACCACCACCACCGATGCAAGCTTAAGGGTCACCTCATGTGACACATATGGTGCAATACGATTTAAATCCCACCCCATTCCATTTGTCCATAGCTCACAAGCTCGAGCACCCACCTCTTGGAACGGTAACCCACCTACTACCACCTCCGTCAAGGGCCTGTTTAAAACCCATTTATCTGTCCAGAATCGCACTTCCTGCCCGTCCCCGAGAACCCAGGTAACACCCGGTAACACCACCTCTCTTAGCCCCAATCTCACACTCCGCCACGTAGACGACCAGGTACCTTTCGGCACCAGCCAAGTTGTATCATGTATATCCCGAACTTTATACTTATGCCTTAGCACCCGTGCCCACAAACTGCTTTGATCATGTAAAAGTCGCCATCCCACTTTCCCCAGTAAGGCTCGGTTCATTGATTTCGCTGAACGGATACCAAGCCCACCTTCACGTTTCGGTATACACACTATGTCCCATGCAATAAGATGTTGTTTCTTCCGCTCAAGAGTACTTCCCCAGAGAAAGGCCCTCGACACCCGATCAAGCTTGTCCAGTATGCTCGATGGTAACATAATTATGCTCATATTATGAACAGGAATAGACCCAATGACCGCTTTCGTCAAAGTTACTCTTCCAGCTAAGCTCAGAAACCGACCCTTCCACCCAGCCAGTCTCGATGTGACCCTCTCCAAATTCTCACCAAATGTGTCCTTGTTAATCCGTTTCTGCAGGATTGGCATTCCCAGGTACTTCCCCAACTCCTTAGTGGCTTCGATACCACTTTCATCGCTTATGAGCTTTGCCAAATCGCTATGTACATTCCCTGAGAAAAATATCTTTGATTTTGCCAGGCTGACTTTCTGCCCCGAAGCTA